CAAACTCTGCTGGCCTTGGTCAAGCAGAATGCTGAGGGCTTCTCCAAACCTTTCCAGGACGAAAATGCAGAACTCAACCCATCTTAACTACTCATGCTTGAAATGTATCTGAGCAACGGGCTGCTGGTGAAGCTGCGCCTGCAACCGCTTGTCATCCTCAGACAGCTCCTCTAGAGAATCCTCCTGCGAACAACTCTGCTGTGCTCGACTCACCAAGACTTGACACGATCAACAAACTCGTGTTGGTGTGGCATTTCAGCTTGGAACCTGTGATGGCTGTATTTCAGACGCCACTTCGGACGCAACGTCCGATGAAAGCTCCTCCACCTGCGCTGGCCACAAACGAACATTTCGCTTGAAGGCATTATGCGGCTTTTGAAGGCTGGTGCTCCATGTTTTCAAGATCTCGGGCTTAGTCCGTTTGATGAGCTGAGAGGGAACTGTGGCCTGCAGTGCTGTTCTGATTTGCTACTCTTGCTGTCCTAAGCCTGTCGGTCACTGCCCTTCTGGAGGACTCGGCCATCGGTGTCCCTCCTCTTTTCCATCCTTGTATGTGGATTAGCAAGTTGGCAAGTAGGCCTGTTCATGGTTCAGCATCCCTGCTGACTACCTTCACTTTGCAATTGTTAGTGGGTGGAGCTTCATTGTGGAGAAAAGCGCTGACGGCCGAACGATCCATCCAACCGTTTGTGAGCTTGAGGTTTTTGTGCTCTCGTTTGCGGGGGCGAGCCAATGGAGAGTCAGGTGACCCAAGATGCCCAAGCTTCCCAAATGCGGTGTGGCAAATAGCCACTGAAGCGCCGTGTGGCCGTAGTAGCCATTTTCATTACCAAGGTTCAGAACATCCGGACCAATCCTGCACGTCCCTGAGTGCCAACAATTTGAACAATCCTAGTAGATATAGAAGTACGAGGGGCCACAAGTCATTTGAGCGAGTAAAAAAATCACTTGGAACGAGATCATGGTTTCATGCCTGGGGTAATTGTCAGCTGTAAAGGAGGAGTGGTCTCGAGTTGCACTTAAGATGCGCCTGCTAGAGGGATTTGACGGAAGGACTTCCCTTACACCAAGGCCAGCCCGTGCTGCTAGCTGAAATGAGTTTGCTTATCGAGGGCATGCGTCTTCACACTTTCGGGCTTCATCGTTTCCACGTTTTGGGGCTTACTGATCTGTACTTCGGATATTGCAAACTAGGTGTGCGTTTCCTTGAGAAGACGGGATCTAAGGTTTAAGGCCAGTTTTCATGATGATTTCTTAGATCGTTGGGTTTGGGGATTGAGTCCCCAGCATACGGTGTAGTTCATTCAGGGCAGCGCCTACGTCAGTTTGAGAAATATCATGGATCTGATGGCGCTTTTAGGCTTCTGGTTGCGTTCCCTAGGAACTTCCAGGGTCAGAAGGTGTAGCTGGTTCACCCTAAAGGTTGAAGCTCAAGGCTTTGAGGTTTCTAGGTTGGACCTATCTTTACTCTACAACGTGGGTCATGCGTGTTGGTGTGACCTCCACTGTTAATCTAACCAAGCTTGGAATGCAATCGGTCAGCTACCGCTCATGTTAGGACATGGGCAAAATCGAAGCCAGCATCCGCAGCGACCCGGCTATGCATGAGAACTGCGTATTTGAGTCTGAATTCAGATCCCTCTAGACCTCACCCGCCAGCACCTGCAATCGGCTGCTAAAAGGAGTTGTAACAAGCGCCATGGTCATCCCGTGACCCTGTGCGCGGAACCATACCTTTTCCTGCTTCTCTGCACGTTCAACCTGGCTCCCCTGTTCAAAACATCATTGAGGTTTTCTTCATAAGTTGGGCCGAGAACCGGCCTCTCATTTTCTTGAACCCCGTCGGCCTCGTTCAGACCTGAACTACCTCTCTCCCCTCCTCCTATCCCCCACCCCACCGATATGAAAATGCGATTCGGAACAGTCCCTTACCCCCTCCCATTGACCCCCTTTGACCTCCACCCAAATTTAAAAAATATCTTCTTCTAAGTTGTTCCCTTGGCTGAGATTCGTTTGTCAGCAAGCCGAACCCCTTCCCCGGCCATGGACCCTTGTTCGCCTTGTTCGCCCATCCACGCAATCCTTGAGAGTCTCTTAACACAGTTCAACAGGACCCTGATTTGAGAGCAAGGAAATTGGCAATCCCAGCACCTCCACTAGGAGAGCTGCTTGACCCAAAATGTTCGGATTTATTTAGAGCTAAAGTTTGTGGAAGGTTGGAACTTCGGGAGACCCCCGAACATGGTCCAGGGCGGAGCCCGTGTCTAGAGCTTTAGCTCTACAGGGGGTGGCGCCACTGCCACCGACCCACCTCCGTTTCTCCACGGGCCCTCCCAGAGCCCACTCCAAAACTACTCTCAAATTCACATGTGTTCCGAGGCTTCTCCCCAGCACACGGATGGATTTTGGAAGGATGTGCGGGGTCTCCCAAAACAAAGCATCATGAGCACGGACTGTTTTGAAGACTAGCCCCGAGGCCCGTCGCAAAACTAGGCCCGAGGCCCATCTTGGGATAACGCATCAGGTGCGAGCGACGAAAAGTGCAATTGGCGAGCAGCGAAATGGACCCATTGGACCCTCAATTATGCTGGTGATGCGCGGGCTGTACACGAGCTTCATCAGCACAATAAAGGGGGTCAGCTCGGTCACCCAAAAGCCAGTTTCAAATACACCCGTGTTTTTAAAGCTTCCCCAGCACACGGAGTGATTGTTGAAGCATTTTTGGGGTCCCCCCGGACCATTCACCACTGCCATTCCAACCACTCCTGTTACTTACTGGTCCTGTTACTCTTGCTCTCGCTGTCTTTCGCTATTGGCTTCGAAGCTAGGCCGTCAGGTCTATGGGCCCGGCTCCGCCCCTGCCGACGTCCCGCCCTGAGACCTCGGTTTCTCCAAGCCGGACTTCACTCCAAAACCACTCTCAAATTCACTTGCTTTCCAGATGCCTCTCCCCAGCACACGGGGACATTTTTGAAGGGGTCGCAAAAAAGCATCGTGAGCACGGTCATTTTGGAAAACTAGCCCGAGGGTTGTCCTGGACCAGAGTCAAAGCCAGCCCTAATTCTACACTCAAGGAGTGCAAAGGAAGGCGCAAAATTGAGAAACGGACCCCAATGATGCTGATGATGCTGGCCGTAGAGGCCAGCATCATCAGCATCATTGGTGGTATTTTTTGTTCAAATGTTGGCCCGTATATGCTGCTTGGCCATCAGAACTTGAATGAAGCTGTCATGGAATTTCAAATTTCATGACTTTGTGGGTTTTTCATATCATGGTGTTTGCAAGTTTTATAGGGTTTTCGAGAGGGTGGTTTACGCTCAATTTATGCGGGCTTTCCGGGGGCAATAGAAGTTCTATGTGGTGGCCTTTCTGTCAGTATGAGATCGTTGGGCCAATCCTAGGGCGGTCTGTGAGAGCTTGCATCAAAGTCTGCAGTGGCTGAAGCAGCTTGGAAAGCGTTATCATGGGGAGCCACAAGGGATGTGAACCGCGGATGCGAAAAAGTATAGAAGATGCAGCCAAATCATGCTGACGATGTTTCTTTCCTAAACCCCAAGCCCTCACCTCCCTTTTAAGTTTAAATCTCCCTTGACGTCGAGGGCTGCCAGACGAAAAGCCCCGCGCCTGATATCCAAGGGCACGTGCACTGTATCTATCTGGCATCCTATGTGATGTATACTATACATGTCTATCATGCGTTACAGTTTCGGTTGTGTGATGCATCTTGCACTCTACGTGCAGTAAACAGAACGTGTTGTTTTGTTTACGCATCTAGTTGTTTGCAACACGGCCGCCTTGTCAATCATCAGCCTTTATGCCAAACTGTTCGCCCACCTTTTCCTCTTAATAGTCTTCATGTTTCAAGTGTTTGCCGGCACTTGGTCCACTCGCTTGCTGGTACTGGAGACTACGAATGTGGGGAGCGACAGGTGACAGGAGCCTGAAACGGTCACTGGCAGCCGCTTAGGCAATGCTTGATGAAGCTTGGAGCGAGAACGAACGACGCAGGGCGGGAAAATCAACGCGGCCATTGGCCTAGGCAAGGCTTCATATTCATATTTACAACACAACATTGCCGCAATGACATTGCCCAGCGCGCTTCCTTGCTGCTGCACAGTCTGCAGTCTGCACGCAGTGCACTATGCTATTTCCGCACTGCAGGTGTCCCATGCTCCTCCTGATCAGCGGTTTGTCCCTGGATGGCTAAAGCCCACAAGGTTCACACAGCTTCTGCCAGGTGATTTCACATGGTTTCAGTCAAGGGTCCCCGATTCATCCATGTCTTCATTCAGTAATTCCTGACACAGCTGCGACAAGACTTCGTGATCCATCTCTTCGCAACAAGACTTCATTTCAACTTCTGTCTCGTGCTCCAAAGATTCTTCAAGATTTTGATATCTATGCCGATGCCAGCTTACATGGTCTTGTCCTCGGAAAGCACGAATTGAATGAGGTCGCGGTTGCGCGCATACTGTCCGCCGGCCTTGCGTGTTTTCGTGCCTAGGCCAAGTGTTTCGGACGTCTTGCCACACAAGCCTGTGGGATGGCTGACGACTGCGACTCTGGTCCCCCGCATCGGGCTACATGGCAGCACAAGTTGCCAATAGCCTAGCAGTAGCCTACAGTAAAAGCTCAGCAGCCGATTCAAAAAGTTAGGCGAGTGTTCCGCCATGCTCCGCCATGCTCGACTCATTGCTTCATACTCGAGCCACGCCTTTTGAATCTTCGCCAAACCACCAAGACAAAGGACCGGTTCCATCGACAAACGGTTGCTGCCAAGGAAGACACGTATGCGTGAAGACCAGCCAGCCACAGACGTGCCCCGCCTCGTGGGAGCTGGGCTTGCTTGGCAGCTTCGAGGCCAAATCAGCAAATGCCTGCACCTGCTGTCAAGTTTGCATCGCTGAGAACTGTGAGCTGGCTGTGAGATGGTCTGGGGTAGCTGCCAGTTGCTTTTGCAAGTCAAGGTATGTGGACGTTGGCCTGGGCCATTTGCAGAGTCAGAGGATGCCTCCCTGCAAACTTCCAAGAGGCTCAGAGAAGCACCCCTCAGCTGAAACTTCTGACGGCTCCGGCACCACAGCCTGCGTGTCCACCTCCTGGGGGAAAGCCATGATCCCTTCGGCACCACACTACCGAGCCCAGGTTGTCCTCGACCATCCGCGGAGAGGGTCCGCTCACCTCAGCAAAGAAGATGGTGCACTGGCTCTCGCTAGAATTCCAGCTCAGATGCGGGAGGCCGCTCGCGGAGCTGATCGACAAAGCTCACACGTCTGCTCAGACGAAGACCATGCCTCACCAGGGCTCTCAGTCACAACCAACCTGTTGCTGCTGAACTGCTGCTTGGCCACAACAATATGTCATCAGCATCCCAGACAGCCTCACAAAGTGCCGAATCATAGATCCGTCACGTCATTTAGCTATAACTTTTGATGATCCATTCACACTGTCCTTCGTTGAAGCCGAGATTCTGCATCGGACGAAATGGTTTCTAGAGTCCCCTCAACAGGTCCAGGGGGCTGCACGATCTTCTGCTGCACAAGAGGCCGCCGCAACAGGACGACCTTTCAAGAGGACAATGCAAAGCTCCGCAGCCGCACAAAAATTGCAGAAAGAACCAGAATCATTCCGGGCGCGGCTGTCAGACAACGTGCTGTTTCTGTGTTCGAACGATGTCCCATGGGTTAGGCAGGATCGGCAGGAACCCCCCACCAAAGACCAATTGAGTTGATCACTGACTGAGCATGCTAGTCGCTGTCACGGCCAGGCTGGTAAGCTGCATACAAGTACGTCTGTGATTGTCCTCCAGAGTAAGGCCGTGACAAGTTGAGCTGCTTTATCTCCCATCACCCTCAAAACGAATGCTTTCTGAAGCTCCTCCTCGAAACGGAATTTAGAGAAAGCCAGATACCCCTGCGCTGGTTTGCCTCTTGGATGTCACACTTGTGCTGCACCCTCAGAATGCCGAACGCACAAGCGACTTCCACTTGGCAGTCGCTTGGATTTGATTTGCTTGTCTTCTGCCCAGCTCCAAATGGATCTGCCTCCACTCCTTTTTTTGCATCTGTCGCAAACTTGGAAAATGCGCTCTGACCATCATACAGCGCCACACCCACCATGCGCGTATCCTTTAATTACGCAAGCTCAAGAATCTGCAATTTGATCGCCTCAAGCATTTCCAAGCAGCAGCACTGAATCAGAAGCCTGCAAAGATTGCGCCTGTTGAGCACATGGGTTGCTACGGAATGCAGAAACGCACCCGGTCTCTGCGCCTGGCGTTGACTTCCAGATGCCCACTGCGCAGGCGCGGTAGACAAGGCAACTGAAGCTACCACGACACCAGCCACCGGCATGCCAATGAGGGCAACCTGACTTAGATCTTTGCAACATTTGCAACCACACACCAGCGGCCCAGCTCCATCACAAGGCGCGCCTCATTGACAGCCACGAGGCTGTTCCCAATGTCAGTGTAGAACATTCCCGGGCCTCTGTCTCCGGTTGTTGCATGACATGCCCTCGTGGCCAACCATGAATCTCAAGGGCCATCATCAACCCGGCTTTCAACCCAAATCACAGGCATCGCTGCATGCAGAATTCTACAGGACTACAGGTCTAAGCCATCGCGCTTCTCAACTCATGGTTGTATGTACAATAGCGGATTCTTCCCAGGGCCTCATGCTAATCTACTGTGCAATGACTGGCCTGCACCGTGGGCTTTGGAAGCTCGCGCATCCATCGTCATCTGCGCCAAACTTCGACACCATCTTTCTCGCCCCTGTCATGGCTAACTTGACAAAGACCCCTGGATGTTCTTTGACGATTCAGAACAAGTCCTGCCACGTTGGCCAATTTCACATATCAGCAACTCCGCAGCCACTCCCTACACTCGTCAACACTGATACATCCTCCCTTAGCAGCTGTCCAAGTCAAGGCAGTTGTGAATGTGTTGACTACGACACATCTCATGAACACAGCTTGTGCCTCCAGCAATCCACAAATGAAACCACCGTTGCTCCATTTGTCTTGAGGGGAACGAGCGGCGGAATCCTTTCAGAAGAGTTTACTGTAGGTTCAGGTCTTGGGACAGACTTGCTTGTGCATGTTTCGAACCACTGCATCATCACTGTTCATCAACGGGGCCAAAGAAAAATGCACAACTCTGCCAGGTAGACTAAAAAGCATGGAACATGTAAAGAAAAAATCAACAGGAGGCTCTCACAGTACCTTCATGTGCTCGACGTTGCCGCAAGGCACGGCTGGGGCTGGGCCAAGCCCTGTGGAATCTCTCTTTGGCCGGGTGCTCTCAGCGTCATGGCCTTATGGCATTCCTTGGGAGCTGCGACAGCTTGCGCTGCTGCCGGCGCTTGATGTCATATTCTGCTTTGCCTTTCTTGCAAGCACTGGCGCTGTCACCTCTGTGCAGGGTCCCTGCACTGAAATTCTAGCTGTGACCCTCTGAAACTGGAAGTGCAAACGGCTTCTTGCTGTTTGTTCCAAGTTTTCTGCCTTCGCGGCTCCAGCTCCACGTTCCCGCGTTCGTTAGGCTTGGAGGCCATGTACAGCATTTGGCACTCAAGAGAAGTTGCCAAGGATTCAAGAGACTTCGTCAACAGGGTCCAGGTCCGCCAGAAAGCAACAGCTTCAAGGTCAATCCATACATAACAATGTGTCCACGATAGCAGCCTAACAAAAGAAGTCTCTCTGAACATGCAAGGTGCCGGGATTCCAATGACGAAGCGACGCACGACCACCGAGCGTGCTAGCTTGAGCCGTGAACTTCCTGCTCGAAGGCAAAGCCCATGATGCAGAGCAGCTTCCTGGAAAAGTGCTTCCTACACAGTCACGAGATGCATGCACATGCTCCGACTCGAACAAATGCCAGAAAAGCAAGACCTTGTCAATCAATTGCACACAATGAAATGCCACCAAGCGTCGCCAAAAAAGAGCGCTGTTGCCGGTTTGGCTGGGTACGGACAGGCTACAACTTGCCATGCTCCACTCCAAAGAGGATGTAAGTCTGTCCTGGTTCTGCCATGAAAAACCGTTGCGTCTCGTCGCGTCAGACAGCTGTTTGAAAAAAAATTGGCTTCTACATGTTGAGTCGAGATCGAGCCTCTTATGTGCGAAGAAGTGTCGGGAAACCTCTCGAATAATCTGCCGGGAGACTTTGTCCAAAGCGATGTGAGAGAGGCAGATGCCGTAAGCTTAGCTCGAAGCATCGGGATCTCGAAGATCTCGACCTGGTCACGTCGCTCTAAACGGCTACCATGAGTCATGATCAAATCATGCTTTCCTTTCACATCCTTTCACATGGTGTGAACTCCGAACCTGGAACGTCGAGAAACCAGCCATGGACAAAACAGGCCGAGGAGGCTCTGGCGGCGCTTCACGCACGGAGTTGTTCATGAGATCTGTCTTGGATGTGCCTGGTAAAGCCGACGCGCGTTCATGTGCAGCACGCTCTTAATCCTAAAGGTGCAAAGAGATTGCAAGGCTCATACAAGCAGAAGATCGTTTCAGGTTCCTCCGTTGCCGTGATTCAATCACAAATGGATGTCAGCCTCACAATAACCCATTCTTCGACGATGTCGACTTGAGACCGCGGGTAACGTAGAGATGAGCGGCAACGATTTCAATTGAGCGCTGAACAAGCTTTGTCTGGTCCATGTGACGACACATACGAATATGCCTCAAATGGAAAGAAGCTCAACAAACATTTGCTAATCTTACTCATGCACGGCCCGCACAGGACGTGGGAGCTGAACTAAACCGCTTTCGCACTTGCCGGACGCAGAAAACAAAGCACAAAGATGGCAATCACAGTGTTGACGATTTCGCCGATTTCATAATTTCAGGTAAACGTCAAGCGAGCCTCTTGTGCGCTGTACCATACCTTGTTTTCAATCATGGTGAATCTGAAAACACATTCCGCACCATGTTCTGCTCCCTGCCAGCCTCACTTCCGAAGCAGGATTGCAGTCTTGCTGCAAGGCGAGGCACCAGTAGCGCAGCAGTAACAATCAACAAGAAGGACGACCAAATCAGACCAGACACAACCCCCAAACCAAAGCAAAACAGACTCACATCACCTCCACAGTTGCTACAAAGCGTCGAACCTGAAAGCGCAAGCTGCTGTGGAAGCACATGCTTGCCGCATTTTCTGCAATAGTCGCCGTGGCCCGCGGCACTGGATGCACTGAAGACGTCTGACTCAAAAACTGCGGCTCGCGAGGGTTCACAAGACAGCAAACCAAGCCCCAGAACCTAGCCTGAAGTGAGGTGCGCAATGAGCTTGGAAACAGCCAGCGCCACTTTCTGATCACCTGATTCCAACAGCGCACGAACCATATGTCAAACCTTCATCCCGATGCCTGGCATCTGAGCGTCCCGACTGGCCAATCCCCAACGAAATACCTCTGGATGAGCCATGCGGAGCTGCTGCGACAAGACGCCATCCACCAGACCCTTCGAGCTGGCGCTGGTGCCTGTGACGTTCTTAACATGTGTCTCTCCCGTTGTCAGATACCGTAAAACTTTACCTTTCGAGCTGGCGCGCCAGAATCATCAGTCAGCTTTTGGCAGAAAGGGCCCTGCATGGAGGAGCAGCTGCTTCGAGGTCGAAGGCGGCTAGCTACAAGCTCGCGTTCGTCAATCACCTCTCAAAAGAACGGAGAAACAAGCACCATGACAAACTCGGACCGACCCAATCGCGGGCAAGTTGCAACATGGTCACGAAGCTTCAACACCTTAATTCTCGTTGAATTTCGTTGCTGCTACGAAAACTTGGCCAAAACCACTTGATGCAGAAATTGCGGCTGAGATTCCAGATTGCCTGTTTGATGCGACAGAACCGACACGGCTGTTAGGGCAGGCTGGCTCTGCAAAGCAAAAGCCACGGCAATGAGAGCGCCCATGGCAGTGTGGTCAAGGCTCAAGCCCTTCAGAGGGAAGGCACAGAGCTGCAGATCAGTTGAGCAGCAATGAACTCCTGAAAGAAAACTTGAAAAAGCCTCTTAATTTGTTCTGGCAGTGAGTTTGGCTGTCATGGTTGATCTTTGAACAAATGTTCGCCCATCTAGAACCATTTTGACAGACATGGCTACCGCTGGCATCGCACTGCATACGTGACTTGGAGATTGACATCGCACATGCTGAAAATGCCACGGACTGGGCGCTCCTCAGCAAAGACAAACATGAAACGCGCGGCTCAGCAGCAAGCCGCAGGCCACTACCCTGAAGCAATGAGGACAATGCGACAGCAGAGCAGCACTGCAGAGGTCAAACGCTTCGAGGCGACTACAAAACCTTGGCCAGCTCAGGCACTTCAGGGTGAACGGGTCACACCAAGCAAGTCTTGCAACGATCCGCTTAAGAGTCTCGTGCGTATGAGGGTTTGCTGACCTGATCCGTGCTGGTGTTCAATTCTCTAACTGCTGTGCGATGCCAGTGCAAGCAGAAAATCTGGAAGGCGGCATCAGCTGGGAACCCAGCGCTAGACTGGAAGGCTCCGCCTTCTCCACTTCCTAGCGAGCCGCATGCTGCGAACAGGCTGCAGACCGTTGCTGCCAGGAAGGGCTCTGAGAGCTAGACATGAACATGCCCTCATACTCCTCGCCAACCATCTTACCAACACACCCTTACAAACATCTTACCACAAATCCTATAACCATCCAAAGCAAAGGACCTTACCAAATATCCTAACAATTCTCCTAACAAATCTCCTAACACCCCAAAACCCCAAAACCAATCCACGTCACTAAAATCCGATGCAAATATCGTATCCTTGAACCGGAGCGTGAATCTTACTTAATTTTCATAATGCTTATTATGTTATTATATCAAAGTAGATGCTTAAGCACCTAAATTTCTTTTTTGCTTCATTTTCGATCTGAATTACTGTATTTCCTTATTTGCTTGCATACTTCATCTCGCTTTTGCCTAACATCCATCTTCCAACTGGTCGTATACAAGCTGTTTTCTGGTATCCAAAACTGTTTCTATACCATTCTCCGAAAGTCGTTTTGCGAATCTCTCTGTTATACTATCATCTTCTTTTCCTATCAAATTACAAATGTCTGTTCTGTATTTCTCAAATTTCTTAAGCTTCTTGTACAAGAAACCTTCTGTTTCTTCAAGCTCTTCAATCATCGTATGGCATAGTTCAAGGATTTGTGTTTGATATTCATCTCTTAGTATTACATGTCCATTTCTCTTTAATCCTTTTTCGCCTAAGACCGTTCAGTTTTCATAATTGTTATTATGAAAACAAATGTATAATTCAGCGTGCGGTTCTACAAAGAATTCTGAACTATCATTTCACGTGTAAGCCTTGTTAGTTTTTCCAAACATTTGCAATCTAACTTGTCATCTTTACGTATATCATATATCTTCGCAAGAAAGAACTTATACACTCTCTGATAACGGTTAAAGTAGCCACATAGAATACCTTTGTAGTGCTCTTCTTTCCCTCGGTGCAAAAATCATACGTGCCTAAGCTTTCATACATTCGTTTTATCTCACAATAAGTTCCAGTTGCGTATTCACTCTTATCAATTTTATTCTTTAATGCCTCACAAGCCTTGGAATATTCAGGGTGTTTGTACGTTTGAATGAAGCAGTAGACATTTTTGATTTACAGCACGTATCACAACAATCATATTCAGCAATCAAATCATTAGTATCATGTAAGGCATCACATTTGCCTTGCTGTTTGTTCTTAACTTCATTACACACTTTACAACGGTTGAAAGAATTAAAGTTACTTATTTTGTTATAACACATATATGTTTCATCTTCACTCTCAGTTTTATACTCACTCTCGGTTTCATATTCACTGTCGGTCATCTCTTAATATTATATGGCGGCTTCTCATAAAGCCGTTTTCTCCAAAAACTCTTCTAGTTCCTATAACTTACAATGATGTTTTCCCATCTCTCTTCCAACTGCCTCAGCTTGTCTGTATTCCTTATCACTTTCTTAAATCTCTCTTTTTCTCGTTCTATTTCTTCCATCTTCGGCTCATGTACCTTGCTATTCAAGTGACTACTTAACATTTTGGATTTATCAATAACCCTGCCACAGAACACCCAACGATGATTCACATATAAATTATTGTTTCCAGTACAACATTCTTAATTCAACGGTTGTTTAACCCTCTTTCTTCCTAAATCTTCTGCTATAAGCTTATTTCGAATCATAATTAAATAGTTTAGGGTTTTGGGTTTAGGGAAATACTTCACATAATTGTTACGTGTCCTATCTAAACACGTTCGACACGTTTGTTTCCGTCTTGTGTTTCAATTCTAACAAACCCTTAAATCCCCCACACGTTCTGCATTGTTTATGTATTTTCCTTCATCACCTGATAACCTAGGAGATTCATTAAAATCAATATTGAAATCTGCTTTCATCATTGCTATGTTACTAATAATTTACAAGCAATTATCAAAAATTTCCTTAAGCTTTAACGCTTTTGTTTCAAAACTTCTGAATTAGTTGTTATGATGTCTTACTCTGTTCGGATTGTAAGTATTCACAACATTTAGTATTATGAGGGATTTTTGCATCAGTGTTGCTAAAGGCTGGCGGTGCTTCACATGAGCATTACCAAGAATAAATAGAAAGCAATTTCCAAATATTATTAATGAGTAGCAATAATATTCCAATAGTCAAACCGATAAACGTTAAGGAATACGTTTTCTAACAATCTAAATATGAGCAGGCGTCAAAATTACTTGTCTGTGGTAATGGTGGAAATCATGTAGGGTGCCCCGAATCGTTTTGCAAGTCTGCGAGGTATCGTTTTGGGGTGTCGTTTTTTAAGGTGCCCCGTATCGTTTTGCAGTGGCTTTAACATATCTCTACTCATTGAACAACCCTTCTTACTACTGTACAATAACGGTAATTTTGACCCCGGCTCATATGAAGCAGCACCTAAATTACCGTTCTCAATGATTATAACCGGACCATCTGGAAACGGAAGGGACATTCTACTACAATCGCTTATTTAAGACATGTACAAAGCCGTTGTCGCAAGAGTTCTTGGGTGGTGGCCTTCAGTTCAATTGACTCTAACTCTAATTGGACTCCAGTTAAGCGATGCATAGAAACAGAATGAAGGTAGACGCAGAGGGAAAGTGCTTTTTTGAACAGTACAAGCCAGAAGAACTGGAAGCAGTTATAACAAGACAGCATAAAATAGCTGAATATCACAAGAAAAACCGGACACAAACTATTGCATTCAATACGAATCAGGTTAGATGACTTTGCAGATTCGAGCGACGTTTCAAAAAATTCACCTTTACTAAATCATCTATATGTGTGGCGTCGTCATAAAAGGCGCAACATAATAACAGCTACTCAAAAATTTAACGCCTTATCTCCAATTATTTGTGTCAAGGGTCGTCATTTGCTGTTTTTCTTGAACAACAAGGAGATAGAGACAATGGTTCAAGAACTAAGTGCCGTCTTGATTAAGAAATCAAATGTAGCAGATGCCGAGAACTTAGCAAAAGCGAATAAAGCGCTTACTGGAAGTTTATAGCATAGCTACCGAAGTACCTTATAGTTTTCTTTTCATCAATCCTATGAAGCCAGATGTCAGTAACGTGTTACACAAGCGCTTTGATGTTAAATCAATTGTTGACTGATAACATTCTAGGTTAAAGATTTTATGACATCATTACTTGTTTTATTATTTCATCTGTTAATTTCTTTATCCTTGCTATTTCACACCAGTTATTAAGTTATAAAAGCTAAAAGAAATGCACTAGTAGCTCTTATTTCGTTAGTTTCTTTGTCAAGCCAAATAGTCCAATATATATTTTCTTCTCAATCTCATCACAGAATAACCTTCTTCGTCAAGCTAAATATTCTAATAAGTATTTCCTTCTGAATCTCATCACAAAGCAACCTCTGCAGTACTAGTCTTTAGATTTTGACGTCGCCTTTGCTTTAGCCCTCGGTTTTTCTTTCTCACTATCATGATCACCTTCTTTTTTAAAACTTTCTAGTCTCTTTTTCAAATCGCTAATTTCATTATTCATTTCCTGAACGGCACTCCATAGAATCACCATTCTCATATTCTCGTCCTTCCACTTCCATACTGCATGACTCTAACCTTTCTTCATACCTGAACTCTTCCAATCGTCGGCTATCAAACAGACCTCTACATTTCTTTCCAATAAAATTGAATTCTTTAGGCTTCGAAACTTTACAATATCATAGTAAGTTTTCCTATTGATTTCTTTTTAGGTTTTCTTTCAACCTACTATCGGAAGAACTAGCCAACTCGGATCCCGCACCGTCTCGGGTCACCTAGCAAACACTTTTGTGGGTCACCCAACTCAGGATTCTGGATCAGCCTGAAGGGTCTTGGGCCTAGCGTTCAGGGGTTTTGGATTTAGGGTTTGGGGTTGACCCGAAAAGGTGGTGGATCCGAGTTGGCTAAAAAGGTTGGCTAAGTGACCCCCTCTCCTGCAAAACCCCTAACTTAGCAAGCACTTTTGCGGGTCACTTAGCCAACTCAAAATTTTGGGACAGCCTGAAGGGTCTTGAGCCTAGCGTTTAGGGGTTTTGGATTTAGGGGTAGGGCAAGGGGTTTTGGGTTTTCGGTTTAGGGATAAGGGGTTTTGGATTTAGGGTTAGGGTTTCGGAGTTTTGGATTTAGGAATTAGGGTTTAGGAGTTTTGCACTTAGCGTTTAGGCTTCAGGGGTTTTGGATTTACTGATCAGGGTTTAGGGGTGGTGGATTTAGGGTTTGGGGGTTCAGGGTTTAGGGGTTTTGGATTTAAGGCTTTGGGGCTTAGGGATTTTGGATTTAGGGTTAGGGTTTAGGGATTGTGGATTTAAGGTTTAGGGTTTAGGGTTTGGGGGTTTTGGATGTAGGGTTAGGGTTTAGTGTTTGAGGATTTAG